AAGAGAAAAGAAAAGAAAGAGAGAGAAATGTTCCCAGAAGACAATGGGGAAGAATCAACCACAGAGCTGTGTCTACTTACCTCGGCAATTCTTCGAGCTGAAAGAACCCATCACTGGTGATGCCTAGGCTTGCACCTAGGAAAACACAGCCTAGATCACACAAGATCATGCTTTCTCTTGTAAAACAAGTACACCATTTTATGAAAGAACCAAACACTCTGTTTTGACAAATTTTGTTAAAGTCTCCTCTTAGAATGCTGCCAGTGAGTTTCTCTTAGTTGACATTTTTTCCTCTTTTGGTTCTTCTTTTCTTTGGACATAAGTTGCCCAGGCTGGCTTCAAACTTGTGATCCTCCTGCCTTAGTCTCCTGAGTAGCTTGGATTACAGGTGTGCATCACCACACCTGGCTGGAGTCAACATTTTTAGTTTCATTCTAGAAACAGCAGCAGTGATGACTACGTAACTTTAAAATTTCTCTGAAGAACCACAATCATTTTGGATCTCATGAACAAATTCTATTTCTGACATTACATGACTCCCATGAATAGTCCTGTATTTCTAACTTTTCTGGTACACAATTCCACCTATCTTCAAACTCAGGGCTGAGTATCCTTTATCAGAAATGCTTGAAACCATAATCATTTTAAATTTCAGACTTTAGCCGGGGATTTAGCTCAGTGGTTCCAGCGCCTTCCTCTTAAGAGCAAGGCCCCGGATTCAATCCCCAGTACTAAAAAAGGAAAAAAAAAAATTTCAGACTTTAGAATTTGCATTTACATAATCAGATGTCTTAGAGGTGAAGCCCAAGTCTAAATGAAATTCTTTTATTTTTATACATACCTTACACAGCATGAAGGCAATTATTCAAAATTTAAAAAAATAATTTTGTACATGAACAAAGTTTCATGGTATGGGATTTTCCACTTGCAGCATCATACTGGCTCTCAACATGATTTTAGAGCATTTCACATATGGTATTTCTGGATTAGGGATGTGTATCTAGAATTTAATATTACCTCTCAAATCAAATCCCCATCAACCTCACCATTTTAGTGAAGGAACCAGCTTTCTGCAATGAACCAAAGCCTTGAGTTGTCAGTGGATGCTTCCCTCTTCGGAATCCCCCACTATTTCATTCGTTAATACTGTATGCCCCCCCAAAAGTCCTGGGATTGAACTCATGGTCTCATGCATGCAAGGCAAGTGCTCTACCTTGGAGTTATATCCCCAGCCCAAAATATTGCATTTTGCCAGATCTAAGCACCATGATTACAAGACCTATTCTGATTTCAGAGGTGAGGAATACTCTTTTTAATGTGTCTTGGAATCAATGAGACAGTTCCTGGTTTCTTTGTCCTCTGTGTCTCTTATCTTGTTTTCATCTCTAGCCCGTGGCATTACAGCGGGACTCAGCAGTTGGTGGCAGAATCTGACTAAGACCACCCCATCACGTGTGTACACCCTAACCTAGAACCATGTTCCTACCTCTGGCACAGGCAACTGCAACAGGTTCCTATGTTCCCTCCCTTTCAAGTCAGCGTCAGATTGTTTTCTATAATTATCACTGGGGCCTCTCCACTACTGTAGAAGCCGGTGTTTGTCACAGTTACTGTAAGTTTAGAGATTCTTCTCTTTGGCTCGATGATTCTCCACAATCTGGCCCCAGTCTTAACTCAAAGCACTGGCACTACTGAATGCGCTTCCAAGACAGCTTTATGACCTGCTGTTCCGGTCCTTCTCTCCCTATTGAGCGTGCATATCACACTCAATGTAAGCCTCTCTCCTAGATGCCTCCCTGGGTCAGACCAGCCCAGAGGAAGCTGCTGAGCAACTCAACCCTCATGTATGGTCTGGCAATCATACCTCAGAACATTTACATTTAGTGTTCCCATTTGTTTTTATTTTTTAAATTAATAAGGTATATGTTAAAATTTTCAACAGGTGAGTCTGGATGCGTAGCTCAGTGGTAGAACAAGGCTTAGCATTCGTGAGGCCCTGGATTCGATCCCAACACCAAAAATACAACCTAAAAAATTTCAAAAGTTCAAGATTTACAATATAATATACAATTAAACACATATGAAACCTATACTAGTGAGAAGCAGACCTCTTTCTCAACCTACATCTCTAGTCCTCTCAATGAAGGGAGTCATCATTACAGGGCTTGGGGTTTTCTGCTAAGCTGGGGGTGGATCCAGGGCCTGGCATGTGGGAGGCAGACACTCTACCACTGAGCTATATCCCTGGGCCATTACCTTCTATTTCTACAGTACACAGATCTCCTTGCCTTTCAAAAAAGGCAGAAATTGCCCAGTATGGTGGTGTATAACTGTAATCCCAGCACTCAGGAGGCTGAGGCAGGAGGATTGCCATGAGTTCAAGACCAGCCTGGGCTACAAAGTGAGACTCTGTTTCAAAAAAACCAAAAAAATAAAAACAAGGACATAAATTCCAGCACATTACACACACTATTCCACCCCTTTTTTCTTTTATTTAGTAATAAATCTTGGGAAATTGTATCTACCAAAGATGTGTATGCCCAATATTCCAAAATAAAATTTAAGTTACTTAAATATCCTTGTCTCTCTTACAGTGAGTGCTCTTTACTTTAGGGGTCATGAACACTTTTCAAAGCTGGTGAAAATGTATACATTCTCTTTCCAGAGAGTAAAAAAGTGCATAAATTCTAACAGCACTCAAAATATTCCATGTACATTCAGAGGGTGGAAATGCACTTCATGAGCCAATCCCCAGAGAACATGAAAGATGATAAACTATCATCACATCCACAAAGGCTTAGAATCTTACTGAGGAGAAACACACGGACAGTGTTTCTTATGAAAGAATATGGCAATAAGTCCCTGACTCACCACTGGGGCTTTAGACCCTGGGTATTCAAAATATAAAAGGTAGATAGGACTTTATGTGAGATTTCTTACTGAATAATCTTGTGATTTTCTATATAAGACAAAAACACGACATAAAAAGGCTTACTTAGCTAGTGAAGCCACGTCCTTGTAGTATTTCGCTCCCTTAAACAGTTAATGTAACATTTGTTTTATAAATACCAACACACCTGACAAACTGAGGATGAGAGCAACCGAATCCAGGCTGAGGAGGAAAGAATGAGGCCACTACTGATTTTTCTCCCTGTTACCTGCAGTATACCTGAGCCCAGAGTTGGGTGAAATAGGGCACAGCTGTAAGGCTGAATGCACAGGGAAGCCCACCGAACCCCTGAACACTCACCGGGAATCTGGCTCTCCAGAGGAAGTGAGGGCACACCCCCTGTGGCAATCAGGATGTGAGGAGCAGTGTATTTTTTCCCATTGACCTCTACTGTGGGCTGGGGATCACTCGTGAATGTTGCATAGCCATGGATGATTTCTATATTGGACTACAAGGAAACACCACGTTAGCCTGTTCTTCAGATAAACAAAAACACCCGCTATAATATATGAGCTCTTTCATTTCTCCACTGAAGAGTTGGATTTTCTGCAATTCTGTTGCTCATGACCTCCTGACTAGCAACTGATACTCAAGGTAAGGGGGTTGCCAGTAGATGACAGACATGTAAAATAAGAAGAAATAAAGGTGTGCTCCTGGGCCAAAACTTGAAAAGCAGAAAATACCTGCAAGTCGCTCCCACAAGGAAAAAGGTACCAGCATTTCCCCCTTGTGTTGAGGGAGAAAATATTCCTCACAGTGAAAAGAAACTGAAAAATGATCTGTCTGGGGGAAGGGAGATGGGTGAGGAAGACAAAAGAATACGCGTGAGTATGCCAGGGCTTTAGCTCAGTGGTTCCTGTCTGCCCTGTAAGCGCAAGGACCCCACTTTGATCCTTGGTACAAAAAAAAAAAAAACAGGGGAGTAGAGCCAAGAGAAATACTCTGACCATGGAGGAAGATGCACTGCTTCTGATTTCTCAAACACAACAGGAAAATCTTTATAAAACTGCATGACAGTGGAATTCTCCACTAGAGCTTGCAGAGCACTCAAGATGGATTTGTTCCTACTGGCATCCTGTATACCAGGCCATCCATCTGGGTGGGCCGGCGGGCTTCTGCGTGTCCTGGCATGTAAAAGTGGGTGGCTTATGAGGATAATGGCACCATGTAAGTATGATAAGACAATAGAACATTTCAACATTTGGGAACATGTTTGGTTCTGAGCTGAGTTATTTGCTTCCTTTCCAACCACCCTCCAGGCCTGTTCCTGCAGGTGCTTGGCATAATCAAGCTGAATTAAGACCAGTGCCAAAACCCACATCTTTTCTTTGGGGGCGATGAGTTCCTGTGAGGTGCCAGACCAGCAGGGTGGTGGATGAGTGGTGACAGTATACACAGTAGCTTGTGGGAATACCTTTACCTCCTACAATATTAGAAAGTTTCTGCTGCTAGAAAGAATTTTAGGATCAGCTGTAATTCCTTCACCAAAAGGTGCTCATAAATTCTACTGTACACACCATAACTTCAAAGTATTAAAAAATGCTAATTTCTCAGTAATTTTCCTACCCCAACCCCCACCCCCATGGTACTGGGAAATGAGCCTAGGGCCTTCTCACTCAGCTACATTCTTAGCCCTTTTTTATTCAGAGACATAGTATCACTAAATTGCTAAATTGTCCAGGCTGGGCTCAAACTTGCAATCCTCCTGCCTGAACCTCCAGAAAAGCCACCTATAGAGACATGTTGTTATCACACCTGGCTATTTTTCCGATCTCTTATTTGTGTATTGTGTGTGTGTGTGTGTGTGTGTGTGTGTTGCTTTTCTCAGTACTGGGGATCAAACTCAGGATCTTGTGCTTGCCAGGCAGGCATGGTGCCACTGAGCTAATCCCCAGCTATTTGTTTGTTTTGAGATGAGGTCTCACCATGTATTTCCAGCTGGCCTTGAACTCAGTGTTTTAGCTCAGGCTGGCCTTGGACTCGCAATGATACGCCAGCCTCAGCCTCCTAAGTGATGGATTACAGACATGTGCCTGATTCCAATCTCTTTTATAAAAGTATTTTACTACCTCTATTTAAGAAATTTGGTATGGTAACTTGGCACATCAAGTGCTATTTCTATAACCCAAGTCCTGCAGCCTTAAAAGTCTCTTGTATCCATGTGCCAACAGAAGGCTAGGCCTAACAGGGACTTAGCTCAGTGGTGCCATTCCTGCCTGGCAAGCTAAGTCCTGAGTTTGACCGCGATGGAGCAGGGTATGTGTGGGGGGACTAGGCTCTTAAGTGTCTCCTCCCTGCCCCGAATGAGGTTTCAGGTCAGAAAGTATCATCCTCTAACAAATAAATCTAAGGAGTAAGAAGATCAACATAAAAAAGTATCTGAGGTCTGGGAATTTAACTCAGTGGTGCCACCACCTGCCTCACAAGCCCAAGGTCCAGAGTTTGATCCCTGGTACAAAAAGAAAAAAGGATCTGAGGTTAACCATCAGTAGCAGCAATTCACCTTAAAAATTTGGTTTACAAATATGGTATTAATGAGATGAGGATGAACCAAATATTAAGAACGTATAAGGGCTGTGGATTTAGCTCAGTGCTGCCTGCCTTTCAAGTGCAAGGTCCTGAGTTTGATCCCTAGTACCAAAAAAAGGACCATCATCTAATATAACCCAAGCTATGTGGAAAATGTGAAGGGACACCACAGAGACAAATGAAAGGTGCTGGGATACACATCTGTCATGGAGGAGGAAGGCTGGTGGTAGATAATCTGCCAATGCCTTTAGCACGGCCCTGGGTGGAAAATGCGTGACCTTTTTAAGCGGGCAGCTGGAAAGCCTCAGGACAGCAAAGGGCACCATATCTTTGCTGGAAGCTAATACATCTCTGCCCAATTTTCTGGATCAGATTTCATTCATTAGACGTCTGAATCATAATTTGGCCTCCTGAGCAGATTTAGTCAGCAAGAACAACACTGTTCTGAGCAAATGAGCAATGGCAGGTTTTCTGCCAGGCAGTGCTGCTGATTTTAACTAGTACACTGGCAGACTGATACATAAAAGTCTCTCTTGCTTGATTTCTGAACCTAAGTGAAAGATGAAACCCGCCTGAGATGAGTCTGTAGGGCAGACTGGCTATGGACCTAGGCACATACCGCCTACACTCCTCAGGAAAGAGACTGGTACCTGGGGCTGAGGCTTCTGCTCTGGCCGGTCAGCTTCAAAATCATTAGTCAAAAAGAGTAACAGAAGCAGTAAGATATTTCAAAATATATAAAAAAGTGACAATTTCACCTGGTCAAACCTGCCTGCCCACTCCAAGAGAGCAGCTCCCCACGCCCCCAAGTTCAAGACCTGGTGTACGCACCCTGGTGAGATTGTTTTGATAGACGGTGTTCAGGCGGCTCACGTAGGCATCCCGCTTCTCCTTTATTACACTACGACAAAAGCCGAGTCAGTACTCAGACACAGGACTATCCCACTCAGTTACTAACCAGGAACCTACACCTGAACACCCCTGAGAAGAAAATCAGCATGTCAACAAGAACGAAGCCAGCAGGCATCTCTGAAGACAGCCGCCCTTCCGGCATCTACCTGCTTTCCCATGTGTGGAGACCCTATTCCACCCCGAGGAGAAGGTCCAGCTGGCACCCACAGTATGTGGGCCTCTTTCTGCAGAGAACGTAAGGACTGCTGTTTTGGCATGACACCAGTGTGTGGTGGCCACTCAATATACTTGCAAAAAAATGGATAGATTTGCTAAAAAGGTTTTGAAATTTTCACAGCTTTACAGTTTTACAGCAGTTTTAAAAAGTTAAACATAGAATGGCTGTATTACCGAGGTATAGGCCCAGAAGAATGAAAAGCAGGGACTCAAACAGATGCATGCACACCAATGTTCCCAGAAGCACTGTTTGTGATAGTCATAACACAGAAACTAATCAGAGGTCTAGGGACAGGTGGGTGGATAAACAAATGCATAGTCTACAACGAAATACTACTGAGCAGCAAAGGACATGAGCTCCTGGCATAAGCCACTGCACAGGCAAACCTTGAAAAGGCTAAGAGAAGCCAGATAGAAAGGAAAGTTTTATAGGGTTCTGCATGCACAAAGGACAGTAAGTCACAGAGACAGAAAGCAGAACAGAGGTACCAAGAGCTAGGGGAAAAGGGCAAGGAAGAATTCTGCGTAGTGGGCATGCAGTTTTGGTTTGGGATGGCGGGATGGTTACTATGCACACATCAAAGAGGTTAAAGTGACCAGGTACGTCCTCAATGTCACAGAACTGAACGCTTGAAAGTGGTTAAAATGTTCAGGGATGCTGGCACACATCTATAATCCCAGTAGTTAGCAGGCTGAGACAGGAGGGTCACAAGTTTGAAGCCAGCCTTGCCAACTCAGTGAGACTCTACTTCAGAATAAAAACTAGAAGGGACTGAGGGGAAAGCTCAGTGGTAGAGCAGTTGCCTAGCATGTGTGAAGCCCTGGCCTCAATTCCACACCACAAAACATAGTAAATTCTTTGTGTATTTTACCGCAATAATACCCACTGCCAAAAAGCTCACTGCTTCCATACTTAACAAAAATATCCATCTATAAATTGAACCCTTTGAGCACTTACCGCCAATTGAATTTACTCTCACAACTCTGAAAGCCATAATCAGCGTGATCGTGTATGAACTCAGAGTGGACTGCTGTGTTCCACATGACCTGTTTAAAAAAAAAAAAGAGGATGGGCCAGGGATTTAGCTCAGTGGTGCCACTGCCTGCCTCGCAAGCACAAGGACCCGAGTTTGATCCCCGGTACCAAAAAAAAAAAAAAGAGGATGACAGAAATCATGAACAAATGGTACATATGTAACAGCAGATAAAATACTGACTTTGAAATTAAAAGTAAACTGAACACACTGAAAGTTCAGAAGTATGATCAGATGAATTTTTGCAGAAAAAATGTTAAATAGTATATTCGGAAATATTTTTATTCTGATCATATATGATTTATCATATATGAAAAAGGAGTGTGGAAAGAGGGAGAAATAAAAATTCTACCTTTTTGGGTACACATCCAGCATTCACCTAGGGGGAAAAAAAATACACAATGTTAAAAATATTTAAACTTGTGCCAGGCATGGTGGCACATATCTGTAATTCCAGCAGTCCAGAGGCTGAGGCAGAAGGATTACTGCAAGTTTGAGGACACCCTGGACTACATAGTGAGATCAAGGCCAGCTTAGACTATATAGTGAGACCCTGTCTTAAAAAAAAAAAAAAGAATATTTAAACTCAAGCCATTAAACCCTAAAAATCAAACTAAGAGACTTCTTTAATTCTAAGGAACAATGAACTAGATTCTACAGTTACTCCGTTTTCTCTTATTTTTCTTATGCAATGGAATAGAAAATTTTTACTCATTAGTATTTTTTCAAGAAAAGTATTCACTGAGAGAGAAAAAAAAGGCAATGAGATCACTTGATCAGCTAGAGGATTCCTGGGAATCTTACTGTGGAGTATGTGTATAAAACACCCAGAAGGGCCTTTCCATAAAACGGCTAGTGGGACTCTACCCTTCTCCTTAGGGTGAAAACAGCAAGATTCATCCTTGCTCTAATATCTAAGAAAAGTACCAGACACAGATAAAAAATTTTATTCTCAGCCTTTGGCAGTAAACAGAGAAAACCAATAGCTGTAAGATTTCTTTGAGTAAAAACTCACCAGATATTTAGAAAACCAACTACTCATACAGTTAGACTAAGAGAAATTCCTCCCCAGAACCTATACACAATTTGCAGCACACATCTAACACACACATTTCTGTGCACATCTGTTAATTTCCTTTGACCACTTCTTATTTTTAAAGTTGGGTTAAGTAAGACCTTGATTACAAGGCCTTGAAAGCAAGAAATGTGGACTTAACTGGATGGGTAATTACTCTGTAGACCTCAGCAGAGGAGCTGCTTGCAGAAGGAAAACTAGACTGATCTCATTTTTTCCCTTTATTCCCCTGCCACAGCCTCCCAGAGTGTGGGGCTTACAAGCATGCACCACCACTCTGGATTTTGCTTTTTAGAAGACAAATTATAGGCTTCTCCAATACTCTGGACTTGCCCTCTACTCTACATTTTAACCTTATAAATACTGGATACAGGTGCTGGTGCCGGCCAAGGTTTGTCTTGGCCACTAAAATGAAGTATAAGACTTAATCAAGCTATCAACTGTATATTCTTTGTTTGTTTTTGTTTTTTGCTATCATGGATTGAACTTGGGTCCTTGCGCTTGTGAAGCAGGCAGTGGAACCACTGAGCTAAATCCCTGGCCCTCGACTGTGTATTCTTAAAAATGTCAGTAGGCTGGCACCCATCCCAGTTAGTACAGAGTAAAGACTGACCATTTAGATATTTGGCATAGAACTTAGGATACTGATTATATCCTTTAGTAAAAGAACTTGAGAAAATTTAACTATATATTAATCACATGAAATGAATCTGAGGGCTGGGAATTTAGCTCAGTGGTGTTGCCACCTGCCTCACAAGCCCAAGGTTCCTACTTCAATTCCCAGTACAAAACAAACAAATGAATCTGATCCGGTGTGGTGGCCCATGTCTGTAATCTTAGTATTAGGAAGCTGAGGCAGGAAGATTGCCAAGGACTTCAAGATCAGCCTGGGCTGTACAGTGAGTTCAAGACCAGCCTGAACTATATAGTGAGACTCTGCCTCAAAAAATAAAATTTAAGAGCCGGGAATGTAGCTCAGTGATAACAAGGCTCTAGGTCCAATCTCCAGTATGGAGGAACTAAAGATAATCATGTTATGTATAAACACTGCTTATAATCATTTCCATTATGCATTAGTATAGCACAGCACACCCTATTTGGTCCAGGGTTTTGGAAAAGAAGTCACATATGCTCATGAGCTCAAAGATACATGTATAAGGACATTCCCCAAAGCACAGTTATAACAACTGGGAAAAAGTCAATAGCCCTCAGGAAGAAAGTATTAAACCCAGTACTGTACACTGAGCCCATGGACTACTCCACAACCACTTAAAAGGATAATGTACATTTCCACGTAATGCTAAGGGAATTTTAAGATACAGTAGCTCTATCAGTTCTAACACATCTCCCAAACTGTGAATGCTGCTATATTTACTCTGTTTTTCCCCTATGCATATATACCTATGATAAAGATTAATTTATAAATCAGAAGAATAAGAGATCAAGAACAATAACAAAACAGAACAATTATAATGATATACTGCGCTAAAAATTTACATGAGGCCAGGCATGGTGACACATGCTTGTGACCCCAGCACTAGGGAGGATCACTAAGAGTTTGAGACCAGCCTGGGCTGTGCAGTGAGTGAAAGGACAACCTGGATTACATCTCGAAAAGAAAAAGTTACATGAATGTGGTTTCTCTCTCAAAATGTCTTATTGTATTATACTCACTCTTGTTGACTGAAGGTTACTGAAACCATGGAAAGCAAAATGGTGGGCACAGGTAAATTATTGTATAGTATCATGTGACAAAAACAAAGCTGTGAAACAATAACTATTTCAATGCCCAAGGGTGGTAAACCTATGGTACGCATGCCGCCACAGGCTGCTTGTACCACTGAGAGCTCTAAAAGGTTCGCCATCACTGCCATGGCCCAAGTTGTATCTATATACTATCCGCATGTACACTTTGAGAGCATGTACCATGCTACGCCTTGGCTAATGACAACTACGCACACAGTGGTGGTCTCAGATACCTCCCAGTGCTGCTGCAGTCACCTTAGCTTGGTATGTGCTCCCTGATGTCCTCAGGAGGATGAGTGTGACTGACAATGCATGGTTAAAACTCATCCTCAGCACTGAGCAGCTCCTGACTGATGTCCACTTAGACACAGTTTGGCTGCACTCCAAGCAGTCCAGGACTACCTCTGGGGAGGGAGAAAAGTGCCATGTTTTCTACTCCATGTGTTTTATAACAGGATATAGTCATTTGCTTTTTGCTCTTTCTTCCATCCCACTCACTTATAATACAATATTTACGCGAAACTGAACACTTTCTACACATAACTGCTATCAGGTGCTTATAGCTCTGCCTATCACAGTCATGCAAACCAGATTAGCCTCCTGTATGCCCCAAGAGTATAGGCCTGGCTCTTGTAACACATAATTTCTGGGTGTGTTCTGTGGCAGAGCCTGAACCACATATGTTTGTGCTAAGGCATTTTGAATGACATGCTAAATTCAAAGTAATCTGCCTAAATCTCATTAAGATCTCTCATGTGGGAAAGGGGCGGTCTTTATGAAAAGTAATTTTCTATTCCTCTAGCTGTTTCAAATTCTATCCTATTTATTTTTTGAGGTACTGAGGATTGAATCGGGTGCTCACACACCCTTGGCAAACACTCTATCACTAAGCTACATCTCCAACCCCAGTGATTCCAAAAAAAAAATTTTTTTTTGGTACCAGGGATCAAACTCGGGTCCTTGCACTTGTGAGGAAGGTGGCAGAACCACTGAGCTAAATCCCCAGCCCCCTAGTGGTTCCAAATTCTATATGCGAACAGTGTACCTGGGACAATTCCACTGCAATCCTATTAGTCACTATTATTTTGCACTCGGGAATTATAAAAGATGAGCTGTGCTTTTATTTGGTCTCAAATATTACTTGGGGTTCTTTCCCCCTGCAAAGAGATGAGTTATATCTGTCTAGTTCAGAAATTGGATTTATTTTTAATGAGATTATGCTGTAGTAAGGATTCTAAAGGTGGAACAGGAGGAAGCCAAGGGGTTGAAGGAAAGGTGCAGAATTCAAGCCTAATGAAATAAAGAGCCCCCAATACCCTGGGTTCAATTCCCAGTACTGAGAAAAAGAAAAAAGAAACAACAACAAAAGAACCAACACCTATGCAGCATTGCAGGCACACTATTCAGAAAGTATTTTGCATTATCTGTTAGAACAACCAACAGCTTTCTTCTATATGGACTGCCCTCCCATCTGACCAGGCTGGGACATTCAAATTCTCAACCCCCAAGTACTTTAACAAGGTTATGAACAGGTGGAATGAGCTCCTCCTAAGGAGGAAGATGACAGGAGTTTTTAAAATGCTAAGCAGAAGGAGGCAGCTGAAAAATCCTGCAGAAAGACTAACCCCAGCTTCTTCCGGTTCTTTGGGTGGGCAGGTCCACCCAACACCTTCAGTCTACACCTTATCCCTGCAATTTGCTGCTTAAGTCCAGGAATGGGCTTCAACGCGAACAAACTCCAAAAACAAGAGTGCATGTCAGTATGTCAGAGAAAGAAAGTCTGCTTTCTTCCAGTCACCTCTGCAGATTGCTGGGAACCTTTAAAAGTGATTCAAGGCCAGACATGGTGTGCACACTTGTAATCCAGGCTACAGGGCAGGCTGAGGCAGGAGGATCATATGTTTGAGCCAAGCCTGGGCAACTTGGTGACTTACCAAGATGGTGTCAAAGAAGAAACAAAAGAAAGAATGGAAGGGAGAAAGGAAGGCTGAGGATGCTGCTCACTCAGTGAAAGACTCTGAAAGGACTGCAAAAAAAAAAAAAAAAAAAAAAGGAAATTCAGAGGATATTTTTGGTCTTCTCTAACAGTGAAACCATTCTTTATAATAAATAATATTTGCTAAACTACAATGAGAAAAAAAAAACTTTTTACAAGAGAAAAAAAAAAACTTGATGAAATGCCTTACAATATCTAA